ACCACGACAGCTTCTTTGTCAAAGCAGCACTGACCGGAAAAGCAGCCACTCTCATCGGTGGGAGCACACTTGCAAGTATTCTTGTACAACTGGAGCACGCCATCAAAGGAAAAAAGTTCGAGCCACTTGACCTGCTCGTCATCGACGAGGTGTCTATGATGAGCAAGGCGGAATGGGTCAAACTCGACAAGCTACTGCGTCGATACATGCAGGTCGACAAACGTCCCGTTTGGAGGTATTTACGTCGTGCTAGTGGGGGATTTTCTGCAGATGCCACCCGTAAGGTCAGACCCAATCTACCTAGACCCCATCGGCAAGGCAACGCCCGGCACAGTCGACGCCGGTGGATTCGAGCTCTGGCGCAGGTTCACGGTGGTAGTAATCCTTGACGAGTGTGTGCGCTTCCGTGACGACCCCTGAATGGGGAGAGGGCTGCCGAAACGCGCGTCTGGGACGCTGTACTCCACCGTTCTTCGATATGATTAACGCGCGTGTTATGCAAGCCACGCTCGATGGTGGTAATGCTCAGCATTTTCAGGATCAAGCTGTTGCCTCAGTAGTTTTCGTCACACCGGAGAATTCGACGCGGTTGGCGATCAACAATGCGTTCATGAAAGAAACTGCAGCCAAGCTACCGAACAACGTATACCCGATCCGCGTCATCGCAAATTTCAAGGGTGCCCTCAACGGCCTCAGCAGGAGCGACCTCTGCTACGTTCTCAGCATCCCAGACAACAGGTTTGGCCGGATGGCTACATTCCTAGATCTAGTTCAAGGAATGCCCATACAAGTGACACAGAATGTTGCCACCGCCAAGGGTGTAGCGAACGACACGCTAGGAATACTCGAGTACGTCCACTTCCCCACGAGCACCCACTATCGACTTGTTCGCGACGGCGCCACTTCCACAATTATCCAACTGCCAAGCTAGCCTCCAGACTACGCACTCATTCGCGTGCAAAGGCCACACGCTGCTTCGATTCGCCCTGGGCTTGTCCCCGAATTATTCCCCGTGTTTTTCACAACGGAAGCATATAAGAAAGCAAATATCAAGCTCGCACCGGCTCCAGATGGGCAGCCGTGCTACGTCAAAGTGCGCCCGCAGCAGTTCCCCTTTGTATGCGCGGTTGGCTCGATCGTATATAAAGTCCAAGGAGAAACACTGCAATCCATGATTGTCATCGACTGGAAATCAACGCAGCCACTCGCCAACACACCACAACAAACATATTTGCTTGTTTCGCCGGTTACAACTCGCAACGGACTGACCGCACTAGCACCACTAACACCGAAGCTCGTGGAGTGGTCGAAGCCGTCGGATCATGCGCTCCACGAAGAAGAACGCCTCAACGATCTCAGCAACGCCACGTTGGAGGAATTCCACCTGCCAGTGACCACCGTCGTGACGGACCAATACCGCGATGGAAACAATCCGCAATCTCGAGATGAAGCACCATAATCAGTAGGTAGCGATCGCCTTTGTTTGGACACAACTGTAAGCGAATGTAACCACATAGTATACAATGAATCCATCTATAATACCGTACCTCGGTCTCACATGTACATCTCCGCTACTGCGAGGTATAGACCAAGCTCTCGCTAGGTAGCGTGAAGCTTCTCCCTCCCATACAATGCGTATTCCCCGGCATCCACCTGCACAACCGCCACTGTATACCACAAAGTCTGGTTTGAAAGACACGATCAGCACGTTATCCTGCAGACACCACTTCTCACACACTTATACGCTCACTCACCATAATATAAGAACATCACCAAGCTACGGCGCTGGTCACCTGTCCGCCCACGCGCCCGCAGAATCCCAGTTCCAATCGGCTCGATCCGGTGCCTGTTGACTTATCACTCTACATCTTGGATTGAGTATGTAATCGTGGTTGCAATCAAACAATCGAACGAAGTTGAC